ATACCAGATGACGTTATCGATGAACTGAGCATCCAAAAAAATAGAAAAGTGGATTTTTTATTACTTTTTTTAATAGGTAACAAGTTATGGGATTTTAATAAGGTATATTATGTACGTATTTATGGGTTATTACTTATTATTAATTATCATATATTTTATCCTCCCCCAACAAAGTTTCTAAATACGCATCTGATTTATTGATATATAATATAATATAAAACTAAACTATCATAAATAAATGATCCTAGAACTAAACAAATTCTTATCAAACAATGAAAAAACTATTTATCTCTCAGAAAAAGGTATTATTTAGTAAGTAGGTACCTACAAATATATGAAGTAGCTAACTTACGCGATTACGCGTGTTTAATAAAAATTTATTTTATTATTATTATTAGTGGTCCTGGCTGGGTGGCCAACAACGACTCAGAGTTATTGATCCGGGTCACCTGTTGGCTATTTTGTATAGTACTCAATAGTGCTCAACTGTACAAATATATAATTTCTATGGTGGAAAAATGGGCGTGTGCATAGGGGGACCGGGTGAACCACAAGGGTAGGCCCTTCGAGCGGTCACAAATTTTTGATTTTTTAAATTTTTTAAATCAAAAAACATTAAAAAGTTATAAAAGTAACATGATATTCATTACTCAATGATAATGAATAAATAATAATAAATTAAATACGAGTGTTAAAATGTCATGATATAATATTGTTATGAAAGATTGCGAAATTGTATTTATTTAAATTTTAAAATTATGTACAATTAATACATTTAAATTTTAATACATTTTTTTTTTAATTTAAAAAAAAAATGTATTTTTTCTTATTACATGAAAGATAATGAGTAGGTAAATTAAAGTATTAAACATTTCAGGTAATTTTATTGTTTTTTCCTTCAAAGTTCAAGTATCTTAATCATTATTGACTTGGCCCACCCAACCACAAATGTTAGCGCACGCCTATAGTTGGAAGTCTAATTTATGTAAGTTATACTTATCAAACTTAAATTCCGAAAATCATTTCATATTTTTAATGTTTTTATGTTTTTTAAAATCCATTTTTATAGAAAAAAAAAATAGAAGAATTTTAAGTAAAATCGTGGTAAAAAAATAATTTTTCATAATGTGACTTCGAAATTTTGAAATCGATTTATTATACTAATTCTTGTGACATTTTATTAATGTTTAAAATTACATTTCTTATGTTGCTTACCCACTACAACTGTTGGTCTAACTAATAGCCATCGATATAGCAGACTTAGTCTCTCTCTTTATACATAATAGCATTAAAATTTATGATAATGCATTAATTATTATACATATAGACTCCTATATTTTGTACACCGTCAATACAATATCTACGACTGTAAGCCTAATGTTATTATAATTCATTAACGATGAATAATTCGAGGTGAATGGACCCGTCGCTGCTTCAGTGACACTGCCACTAATCGGACTAGATCGGCCGTTTACGCCATGTGTATAATCATTTACCTACTAATGTTATACTTAATATATTCCATTCCAACGGAGTTGACATGAAAAGCATTCGACGGTTGCGCAATAACATATATTATAATTTATTGTAATGGGCCGTGTGAGATATAACAAGGAATTTTAACTGCGTCTAGAGCGGTTTTTTGGTGTTCTCAGAGCGCATATTATTATTATAATTTTCTTCATTAGTATTATAACTGATGACAAAATGTAAAATAATATTACACTAACGAGAACCACTGACAAAGGTCACATTCCGGATTCCGAGTCGATCGAACGATCAAGTACTACATAGATATAATACTAGGTAGACCTGTAACCTCAGACGATATTCGCGTTATATTATAATATAATATATTGTGTAGGTATATAGTATGCTTTCATCGTGCGTCAGACGAGAATAGGAGGAGATAAATGCGTAAAGGTGATGATGCGTGTCCGGTGGTTACCGCGGTGCACTCAACTCTCTTAATCTCCCATACCGTCTCGTCGTCTCTTTTTCATGAACGAAAACGACATGCATGACAGAATTTTCGTTTTTAGAGTCTTTGCCAATCTCCCGATGGTTAATTGTTTATCGTTATTGATATAAACATGGGTTTGCGCAAAAGTTTGTGCTTGGTACAGCACACATTTTTGACCGATCCGACAGAACAATAATAACAGCTGGATGTAATTCTCTCATTGTAGCATAGTTAAATCAAGTAAAAAACCTGCGAAGTAAAAATAATGTACTCGTAAAATACAATAAAATATCACTCGATTTTGTGATAGAGTTAAACGTCGCTTAGTGTATTGACATAGCCGGTATGTCAGTATAGCGTATTTAAAAATAATATGTCAATTGGCGACTCAGGTACAAGATGAAGTATCACACCGTAACAACATAAACGCAACTGTAATATAAGGGCCTAGGGTGACAGTCTCCCACAATACCATAAATAACCCCCTCCTCCCTCCAAAAAAAATAAATATCAAATCATTATGTCATGTATCGTTGTAGATTTTTATTAGCGGACATACAATTTAAGAATATGAAAATGAATATCTAATATTATATTCTATGGGACTTTATTTTCCTTCCATTTCTACCAGAAATTGCTGTAGCAATAACTATTTACTACAAGTGGGTCAACAATTTTATTTGTTTACAAATAGTCATCTGCAGAGTAATGTACATGTGTGTGTCAATGATGTGTACATCAAATACGTACAGAAATACCATCCGTCAGTAAAAACTCTAGACTTCTTTTAACTTCTTGCATTATTAATAAATAGTTTTATCATTTTTTATTTGATCAACGGTCAAGGGCGTACATCGATTCCACTGGTTTAATATCGATAGGAAAAAGTTCATTGATCTATGACATCTGCTCCACCGGTTATTATTTACAAAATATATGTACATATCGATTCCGCTGGCTATTGATTCCGTCGGATGCTGTTAATATATAAAGTACCTACTAATTTCCAAGAGTCTTAATTTTATTAAATAAACAAAAAAAACTCAAAAAAATTTAGAATTTTTTTATTTCTTTATTATTTATAATCGTGCAACTAAAAAAAGTTAATAGTTTATGAAATAATGACTGATCCCCGATAAAATCATACTGTATATTAATATTTAACATTTATTGCCTATGTGTGTACGAGATAAAATAATAAATTAGAATTTCTAATAATATCTATATAATATGTACCTAATAATTATTTATGACCGTGACTGTGATATATCTTAATATCTTTAAGATTATTATATTAAATTTATATTTATTCTGATGATTGTTCTGCTTTACAAATGACTTTTCTAAGTATTACTTGTTAGTTGTTACCTAGTATTGCAATCAGTGTCGATCTAGTTTACAAAAGTGCTTCATATATATTACGTGTTCCGGTGTTCGTATGTATAATTTCTTAATTAGAGTTGTTAAAATTAATTTTTCTAAAATGTCTATAAAAAAAATATCTAACCCAATATATATTAAATTAAACACAAACATACTTTAATAAATTTAAATCTGAACGAAATCCATAAATGGATATTATAACTAGTTGATAAATTTAATTTTTAAAATTTTTTTCAAAAATATTTAACACTCAGTGAAATCAATAAGTTAGTATTAGGTATAGAAATTAATAATCAATGGAATAGATATGTAAATATTGCTTCACATGAATTACGTTTTAACAAAAAAACATTATTTTCTTTTCAATTTTATACTGACTTAGGATTATTGACAAATGACAACAGCTTATTATTAAAATTGATGCAATATCATGAGTAAAACAAAGTTAAATAATAAAATAAAATAAAGTTTTGCAATGAAATAGAACTGTTAAAGTACAGAGTACAATCAGTAGGTACGCATGTTTATAAAAATTTAATTAGTAGTACGAACGCAATTCTTGTACCCGGTAATCGAATATTTCGAAATAGAAGTTTATGTGTAGCCGCGGATATTATAAACAGTAGCCAGCGGAATTAAGATAAACCTTATTTTTCCAAATAAAGTACCTAGTTTCGGTGGAACCAACAAATCCCCAATCATTTGATAAAATGTATATTTTTATTTTATTTTAAATTCGAGATTATTCAGTAATATCAAATAATTTGTGGGTACTAATAGTAAGCCTTTTAAATAAAATATTCACAAGCCCGCCGAATCCAAAATAAATTACAATCAGGTGTAACGAAAACACAATTCACTGCATCCGTTCAAAATTTCAAATGCCTGTGAATATAGATCGAGTGTACGACGTCTATGGATATAAACATCACGTATATTATTTGGCACAGATATTTTATTACTCTAGATTATAATAAAATACAATATTACATAATAATAATGTGTGTATAACACATGCACCATAACCAGTTCTAATCACCTACTGCAGCTAAAGTCGGCAATCCCGAATTCCCACAGTTTTAGAATGGAACCGGTTTTTTTCCATGTCTCTAAACTATTTTGACGTCGGAGTTCCGTGTTCATAATATATATATTATTATAATATGCAACGAGCTTAGAATAAAAAAAATAATGAACGGTACGTGTACGGCCGTAACGTAGAAATCTTGTTCTCTCGAAAACCAGACAAAAAAACAATGATATATTATTATGTACACTCAGCCATATTGCATAACCCAACGACATAGGCATATAATATTATGCTAATGTATCTGACTATCAGATTGGTGTTTTTAAAAGATCGATTAAGAACTCTCATATTCTCTGGTAATATATGATATTTTAACAAGCGATGTAAAATCGTTTCCTTATCCTTTTCCATCGTTATTTTCGATATTTCCGTAATTCTATATCGATACAACGAAAACGTGAATTATCGATGTTTTTAAAATACTGTATTCACGTGTATACCTTTAATGTCGACTCTATTGCACTTACCTGGACCGACTGCATCATAATATCCCCTCTGGCAGTCTTATTCATCGCATTACCGGATAAAATTTAGCTGCTCGCATCGCATTCGTCGTCATGATTTCAGTTGTTGTTATTCGATACAAGGCGACTAACGTTCGTACAGATCGTACGCCACACACCCACATACTGTTATTATCGTTATTATTGTTGTTGTACAATTTAACAATATCGTTCATATCTACATATTTTACGATCATGGGTACTTACCTGGATAATCCAGTTACCGAAAAAGTCTCAGAAGACATGGAAGACGATACGCTGGTGTGTGGGGTCAGTTCCATGCAAGGTTGGCGTGTTCGACAAGAAGTAATATTATATAATATTATAGCACAGTTCATACATAACACTTAATAATTAATTCTTATAAATTATTAAAATACAATCAAAAAGTAGTGATAGTGAGTGGGAAATGAGGGTTTAAAGCGATACCTATAAATATTAATTACTAGAACACGGATTTGTATACACTAAAAAGTATCAAAATATGCATTATACTATATTTAAATAAACAAAAATTTCCTGTTTTATTTATTACAATGTTATATTTTATAAGCATAAAATAGCCCAACTCCTGTGTGTCTATTAATAGAATTATTGTAAATATGAAGTTACTTTTTAAGTAATTTTCTATTTTAGAGTGAGTGAAATTATATTTTGCCTCCCGTAAGATAGGCCTAGCTATGCCATTGGTAGGAGAACAATTCGGTAGATTAATATATTTATATTAATACTTTTACAAATATTTTATGTACCTACTCAGTGGGTAAGGCTAGCTAATACAGTATAAGTCATCGGTACCTACTTAATGATTATAACCTCGCCGATCTATATAGAACCTTTTTATAGGTACGCGCTTACTACATGTAGTCATGTACAATAAATAATAATGAATTAATCAAGTCTGTACCAAGGTATTTAGGATTTTATCCTCTTTTCCTTTCCTTTACGTTATTAAATAATCTAACGTAAAATGAACACATCGAATGGTTTTTTTTTATTTTAGTAATACTATTTCATGAATTTTTACTTTAACCCTTCATTTAGTATAAACGATTCACTTTCATATCAAAAATATACAGATGCATTGTTCAACAAAAGGTTTTCAAACGTGTATAAAAATTTTCTCCCGGCGGGAATCGAACGGTCTCCCGCGTGACAGGCGGGATACTTACCTCTATACTACCGAGGACTGTGTTGGTAATGTAGAAAAATGTCTTTTATTGTATTCGTTATCATTTTTAACATTATTTTAATATAATATACAATTTGGTTTAATGTATTTATTGCTAATCATATAGTTTTTATTCCGGCAATACGTAAAGCAT